ACATCACTGGTCATTCAAGAGATGCAGGTGAAAACAACACTGAGATTCCACCTCACCCCAGAAAGAATGGCTGCTATCAAGAAATCAATGGATAACAAATGCTGGTGAGGCTGTGGGGAGAAAAGAACCCTTCTCCATTGTTGGTGGGAGTGCAGACTGGTGCAACCGCTGTTAAAGTCAATACAGAAATACCTCAAAGTACTAGGATTAGAAGTCCCACTTGACTCAGCTATCCCTCTGCTGGGTATCTTCCCAAAAGAATTTAAAAAGTCATATCACAGCGATATATGCTCACCCATGTTTATAGCAGCACAGTTGTAATAGCTAAAACTTGGAAATAGCCCAATTGCCCATCAACTGGAGACTGGATAAAGAAGATGTGTTTCATATACATACATACATACATATATATAGTACTACTCAGCCATAAAGAATGAGAAACTAGAGATATTTATAGCTAAGTGGATGCACATAGAGGCCGTACTCAAGTGAAAGTAATAAGTCACACATGTGTAAATACTAAATAGTTTCCCTGGTATGAAACACTGAAAGTGTAAATAAAGTTAAAATGTATAATTGATATTGTATAATAGGAAGAAAAGGTCTAAAAGAGTAGAGGAAGTTGGAGAGGAAGGGGAAAAGTAAAAAGGGAAAAGAAAAAAATATGTGAAAGGAAAAATATGGAAACAAAGTCTTTGTACACAGGGAAGGGTGGAGGGGTGAGGGGAGGGCAGGGGAATGGGGAAAAATAAGAACCAAGTTAAGCCATGTAAAGGTCCAAGATCCCAATGATGAATGTTACTGTATTGTATACCTAAAAAGTACCAATAAACTTAATAAATAAAAAGACAGAAAATGAAAAGCAGCTGGGTGTGGTGGCACACACTTGTAATCCAAGCACTCTGGGAGGCTGGGGCAGGAAGATTACAAATTAGAGTAAGCCTAGGCAATTTAGAGATTTAGATACAGTCTCTGCATAAACAGTTTTAAAAGGGCTGGGGGTGTAGCTCAGTGTGAAGGACCTGGGTCAGTTCAATCACCACTACCACAAAAAGATAGGAAGGGAGGGAGGGAAGAGGGAGGGAGATAACCCACAGAATGGGTGAAAATAGCTTTAAATCATATATCTGGTGAAGGTCTAATATCCAGGATAAAGAGCTCTTGCAATATAACAATAAAAGGACAACCTAATTTAAAATGTACGATCTGAATAGAGATGTCTCCAAAAAAAGACACACAACTGGCCAGTAGACACATGAAAAGATGCTCTTCGTCAGTCACCAGGGGAATGCAAATCACAACAGAGGAGAAACTGTGTCGCATTCACCAGGGTGACCGCAATCACCAACGCAGATAATAGCAGGTGTGGGCGAGGATGTGGGAAATTAGAACCCTCTTCATACTCACCTTGCAGCAGCACAAAATGGTGCATCCACGGTGGAAAGGGGATCGCAGTCACTCAACAGTTAACACTAGTGTCACACGTCATCTGCCAGCTTTGCTGCTATGTGTTTACTCCGGAGAACTGAAGGCCCATGTTCACACGAAAGCTCGCATGTGATAGTGCTAGTCACAACAGCCACAGCTTGTTTATAATAGCACTATTTGCAACAGACAAAAGGTAGAAACAAGACACAAATATCCATCAACTGACGGACGGGTGTGGGGGCGGTGAGTTCTACTGACAGGGTGGAATATTATACAGGCATGAAAAAAGAAATGGAGTCTCCACATGCTGCAAGAGAGATGAACCTTGAAAACACTAAGCCAAATAAAAGCTTCTCAAAGCCCTCACATTGTATAATTCCATCATTCTGAAATGTTCAGGATGAGCAAATGTACAGAGACAGAAAGGAGATCCGTGTCCCCTGGGGGAATAGGGAGTATTGCTAAGAGGCACCAGGTTTTATTCAGGGCTGACAAGGTTCCGGCTGGGGCGATGCTCATACAAGCTCATGAATGTGCTAAAAATGCCTGCACTGTATAACTTTTTTTTGGGGGGGTGCTTTTCTGAGACAGGGTCTCATTAAGAAGTTGAGACTGATCTGGAGCTCAATATGTAGCCCAGGCTGGTCTCGAACTCACAGCGATCCTCCTGCCTCAGCCTCCCGAGTGCTGTTATTACAGGCATGCGTCACCATGCCTAGCTGCACTGTACAACTTAAAATGAAGAATTTTGTGGAACGTGAAATACATCTCAAGTTTTAGAGAAAAGAATAAGTACTGTACATGCAACTATATGAGTGGAAGCCGTGAAGATCCAGGACCTTTCTGAAGAAGGGGCTTAGGCTGTCTTAGCAGATGTCAGGAAGTGTTATCAAACTCCAGCAGCTAAAACCGGGACCCCAGGTTTCTGCTCCAATCCGACATGACTGTTTCCATGCTACTGTGCATATTTTCATTTCGTGCTGGGCCTCTGTGAAAATACCATTGGTGACATTCCACAAATGCTTGTTCATCTCTCCTCCTCCACCCGCCAGGCCATGAATCACTCTGTCGGGGTGCAGAACGGTGACAGCCCCACCCCCCAGGCCTCTCGTGGGTGAAGCGCACCAGCACTGAAGGGAATCCAGGCAGGAGCAGCAAACACCTCCGCTGCTTCTCAAAGTGCGGTCCCCTGACACGGACATGCGCAGAGGGATCCGGGCGGGAGAGGATCAGCAGCGGAGGGCAGGGCCCTGCTCTGAATGCCTGGGGCAGAAGTCCCCGGGCACAGCCCACGAAGGCCAGTGTGCCGGGCTCACTGTGTGACTCTACTGCGGGGTGCGGAGGGCCACAGCTGTCTGTGTGGGTGTCCACACGGACCCCGGATGGGCTAGCTCACCCCGGACACCCCGCAGTCAGAGTGCAGCCTGCCTGGACTTCATCACAGCCCGAAAACGTGGTGCGGCTGTTTCTCCTGAATGTTAAAGAACGAAGGGATTTTGCAGCCTTCCAAAATGGCTGAGAAAGACCAACCGGATATGGATGGCCCGGGGGACAGAGTTTTTGGCCAGAAGGGTGACAGACCCTGCTGGAATCGGGGATTGATCCCCACAGGGTGAGGCAAGCACCGAGAGCTACGTCTTACCCGTCCCAAACACCCCTGGCCAAAATGCTGTGGGGCTCTGGAGATGTCACACGAGATCCTTGCATCGTCCGGTGCTGCCCAGGCCCATGAGAAAGTGGCCAGCAAGTCCCAGATGCTGAGCTGGTTTTCAGAGGTGCCCTGTGCAGGGTGTCTGATACCGTCAATATACTCGGTAAGCAGTTTGCAGAGGTAAACGTTCTGTTGCAATCGTGGACCAATCGTATTTTCTAGAAAAGCACAAGGAACTTTTTCCAAGAGAATGTCAGGGTCCTCACAAATACAACGACTGCCCTGCTTGACACCATCTTTTTTTTTTTTTTAATCACCTGGAAAAACCTTAAACCACCTCGAATCTGATCCCAAGTCATAACTTCCAATTTTCAGCAGTGTCCTATCATAGGCCCTCCGTGGTGCCCTTTCACCTGATCAACAGTTATTTATACTACACTAAGGAGGGGGAAAAGAAGGAGACTACCAAGGCCAGGCTCCTCAGCTGAGAGACTCCAAGCCACTAAAGACCCCAGGCCCGAGCGCGGTTCTGTGCGTCCACGGTTCTGCCCTGGTCGAGTTATGCCAAACCCCGTTCCACATCTGCTGAAAGATTTAAAGCGTGCTCTTAAATCCCCGGGAGAAATATTGTGCATGTACCAAGACGGCAACCGCTAAGAACCGTGACCGAACCACGACAGGGACGGCCGGAGCGTTCTCCTGTCCGAGTCCGAACGGGTCCTCTCGGCGCTGGAAGAGCCGGGCTGCTCGGTGGTTAAGCGCACGGAGAACCCGCGATAGATAAATATTTCCAACCCCAGGCGCACAGCCCCGCCTCCAGCAGGCTGGGCTGGGACTGGTAACCTGTGTTGTTCTTTTCTAACAGCTTCTAGGCAATCTCTGTGTATTCTCTTCGCAGATCAGTTGAGTGAAAATGGTCCTCCCGAGCCGGGTATTCGGGCCAGCAGTTTGGGCAGAAGGTGAACTCGAAGTCGTGCAGGTCTGCAGTGCAGGCTCTGAGAGCCCGGGCTGCCTCCTCGGGGCGAGGGCGCCCACCCAGCCGGGGCACCGTGAGCCCTGCCGGGACAGGCCGGCTCCGATCCCCCTCAGCTCCGGCACGCGTGGGCACCGACGGCACGGGGGGACTGAGGACAGTTTCGCCCTGAGCACCCAGTTTCGGGCTCTCGGACCTGGCCAGCTTTTGAGCCTCGTTTCCGGGAAGAAATATTCTCCCAGAAGGCGCGACCGACCGCCAAGGTCCGGGGATCTCGGCCACCCCCCACCGCAGCCCTGGGGAGTCGGGCTAGTACTGAAAGTCAGCGGATCCCCAGGAAGCCCTGTGGATGTTACCCTCCGCCTGCACTAGGCTCCCAGCTGGCTCCGACTTAGCCCACCTCACCCTCTTCCCTACCTGCTTCTAGCAGATGTAAAATCTCCACCTTGCGGCTGGGGCAGTTGGCTAACAGGAGAGGAGCCCCGGGTTAGCCCCTGGGCCCCACCACCACCACCAACACCCACTTCTGGCCCCACCAATACCCCACACGCTCTCCTCCAGGGCGAGAATTTGTGTCTCGCTCTCCTGTCTGCTGACCTGGTCACTCCACGAATAAATAAACTCTTGGCAAAACTCAACATGTCTGACTGGCAGAAGCCCCCTGGGTCGGGAACACCGTCACCCCCACTTTCCAGAAGAGAAAGCTGCAGCTCAGAGATGTTCAGCGGCTTGCCCAAGGACACACAGCTCCTGAGTGAAGAAGCCAACGGGGAGATCTGGCCCCAGAGCCTCCGCTCTTGTTCACGGTGACTCCCAGCCCCAGGCTCCCCAGGGTGCAGGGCCAGAGAAGGAAGCCAGCCCACCGCGCCATGTTTCTCACCCCTTTACTAGTACTCGTGTTTATAAATACACGTGCGCTCTTCAGAGTTGAATCCGATGTGTCAGGAGTTAGATACGAATAAGTTTTATAAATAGAAGCAAAAACTGGCACAGAGCTTGAAAATGGAAAGATGGCAGGAAATCGACGTCTGCGGCACATCTGGCAGGCACCCGGGAGGTGGGCTGCACCTTGGTCGCTTTCCGCCTCTGTACCACAACACCTGAGTCCAGGTAAATGACAAGAGTCCGGCGGCCAGCTCCAGGGCCGGAAGTGAGGGTCAGGAGGACCCTGAGGGGATCGCACCACGCAGAGGGCGAGCGAAGGATTCGAAGGCCTCGGCACAAGCACCGCCGTGCTTTATGGGAAAACCCACTCCAGCCATAACTGGCCCAGCCCCAGGAGAGCGGTGGGCGTCCGTGGAGTCCTCACCGCCCCGAGGCTGTTACACAGGGCCCTGTTTCAGCATGCGTCCTGTAACTGTGGCAGACCCCAAAAGATCCTCTGCCTTTGGGAAACGGCGAAGGTGGAGAGAAGCCTGCCTTGCGGGGCTCTCCATCCAGCCGGGGAACCAGCGGGGGCTTCACTTGGGAGCAGCCATGGCTTCCACAGGATCGTTCACGCCCTTCCTTTTCTGCTGGGACCCGGCGCATGGCCAGTCCCGAGAGACCTGGAAGACAGGGCCCAAGCCCCGAGGGGTCCCTAGATAGGCCGAGTGGAGCAGAAGCGAGTCCCTGACATGCAGACGCAGGCCAGCGTAGCCACAAGAGGGCTTCCTGGAGGAAGGAATCTGTGTGGAGCAACACTGACAAGCAGGACTTCGGGGACTGGAGTCAAGCCTGGTGTGTGACAGGTGCCATCTCAGCCGTTGGAGGTGCATCCGTGACCAGCCAGACCAAAACTGACAGCTGGTGTGGAGAACAGGGAGAAAAGAATGAGATCTGTGGTGAGTTAGGAAGTGATACACTGGGAAGAAAAACAAAGTGGGGCAGAGGTGAGCAACTGCCGGAGCCTGGGCGTGGCATCTCAGTGAGCACTGAAGGAGCTGCAAGGCAAGAGGAGGAACTGTAAGTGCAAAGGCCCTGAGGTGGCAGCATAGCAGCACATGCTAAGGAAACAGCAGGGAGGCCAGGGGCCTGGGCAGAGTGAGCACGGGAGAGGCCAGTGGAGAGGAAGTGAGAGCCATACGGGGCGTAGAGCGAAGGAGGGCAGTGGTGTGACTCCAGTCTAGGTGCATATGTTCTGGCTGTGTGACAAGGGATGAGGAGAGGATGGAGGACCTCGGGAAGATGTGCTGGGAGCTATGGCCCTGGCCCAGGCAGAGGCTGCAGCCCCTCACCCCCACCCCTCCCCACACCCATCACCGGGATTGGCATCATCAGCTCAGAAAGCTCTGCCAGCTCCCCCCAGGAAAGGCCCAGGCTAGCGGAAAGAGACGTTCAGAACCCGCCAACCCTACAATTACCGATAAGATGGATTCTTCTCCCTGACAGGGCGCAGGAGATACGGAGCCTGTTATTACCGAGGCCTAATTACAGCGTCTCGGGCTGCAGCGCTCCCTGCAAGAGAAATAACAGCGGCCTGCAAAGCGGGGCTAATTGTTCCCTCCTCCTCCCTCTTTCTTTTTGTTCGGAGCACTCAATCGGCCTAAAATAATTACACATCTTCTCCCCCAAGGGGCTCTGGGCTAGGCTTTCTCTCCTCCCAAGGCTGGAAACTCAGCTCCCTGAATCTGAAACTGGCACATCGAGGTGGGACGGCCCTGGCGAGGCCTGGTCCCAGCACCGCCTGGGCCAACCTGAAGCCAGCTGCAGTGTGTGGCTGCCGGCGGGTGCTGGGAGCTGGAAGGAACAATCGAGGGCCGCCGAGCTTCGATTTCCTGGCCAGTGAAAGGGTCCCACACGGCCCCCCAGCGGTGATGGTGGTGGGAAGGCACTTCCCGGGTCCTCACGCTACCAGGCTCTGACACCCGGTCCCTTGATGTCCCAAGCCCCTTTCAGAAGCGAAGGTGCTTGCGGGCAGAGCGTCCCTCACACTCGGTGTCTGTTAGACAAATGAGCTCTTCACTGCGCCTAGACAAGGGAGGGCTCCTCTTCCTGCTGCACAGAGGGGAAACTGAGGCCCAGGGAGGGCAGCACCACAGGTCACCAGCACCCAGCAGATTGCTGCCAGCAGGACTTTGAGAGAGCCTGGGTGACGTGGGATAGCATGGAACGTGACGGCACCGTGTGAGGCTGTTCCCGTGATCCTCCCTTCTGGGCCATCACCTCGTAGTCAAAGTCCCCATCTGGCATCTGCCTCCCGCCTTTATTAACTGAGAGGACAGAGCGAGTCCTGGAGTCCAGCCTCACCGCTCGCCCTCACGGTGGTGTGGATTCTCTTTTCCAAGATGGCCTGTCATACTTCTGGGCGCTTAAGTGGAGCAAGCAGGTGTCTTAGAGGAAAGTCGGAGCAGCAGTGCCCCACGGCTGGGGCCAAGTGGGAAGAGCCAGGCCAGCCTGGCTCAGGTCAGGAGAGCCGAGCATGACCATGCATGGCGTCCCTAGTGGCACTGAGCACAGACGTCCCACACACCCTTGAGCGGAAACCTGGTCCTGTCTCAGCCACTGAGTCCCGTGCAGCACCTTCTCCCTCTGGGCCTCAGTTTCCTTATCTGCAGCCCTCTCGCCCTGGCCCCCCAAGCAAGTTAGGCCTGTGTCCCAGGTTGCTGCTCTGGGCATGGGTCCCCGGCCAGGGCCACCCCCAAATGAGTTGTCAGAGTGCAGGGCTGACGTGCTAATGAGGGGCTGACAACCTGCAGAGCTGACATGTCTATTTCCAGGAAGCAGAACACCTGGTTCCCAGCCCCAGTCCAGGCCTGGTGGTGTCGGAGCCTGATAGATCGCCCTTCTGATGTCTTTATTATGGCTTTGAAAGACGCCACAGGCTCCTGACCCACCCACCCCTTCCTGGAGAAACGCTCTCCCGGGGCATCCGACGTAGGCCAGGTTAGGGATGTGACACCAGCAGCGGTTCCTGGCCAGAAGTCCCCCTGTCACTCGGACGCTGCCATAAATAATGCCTGAGAAGTCCCGGGAGTTGCAGATCCGTGTGCCTCCTGCAAAGGTCAGCTCTGGAGATGTGCACCAGGAAATCAGGGCTTCCAAGAACAAGCAAGAAGTAGACTCCAGTCCCCGGGCTGGCCATGACCTCTGGGGCCCCGGGGGTGAGTCCAGTGCCCCCCACATCCCCTACCAAGACTCCAAGAAGGAAGGGAAGCGTATGAACTGTCGCTCATTCACCCACACCTTGTTCTTTCTCTACCAGGTGGACGTTGGTCTCTAGGACCAGTGGCACTGATTGCTCCAGAAATGCAAGGCATGGAAACAAGGAGTAGGGACGGGATGCACGACAGAGAAAGACACTCCAGGGGCTATGCCACCCATGGTAGCTACGTGGGTCCACGCTCAGACCCTGACGGGAAGAAACTGTGCCTGAGAAAGCAGGGGCGAGGGGTGGAGTCCAAGCCGGAGGATGTTAAGGAGATGTGGTCACTTTTCTGAGGCCCCACAATGATTCTGTGGTTATGCTTTAGAGCTCCTTATCTATAAAGTCTAGGGATAAGACAGAATGTGGTGACAGCGGATGTGACTGAGGTATGCACAGTTCAGCGTCATGCACTGGCCATGCCTCAGTCTGGGGTCCTGAGCCTGGTTGCCCTCCACATCCTCAGGTACCTTGGCCACCCATGGATCTGAAATATTCCTCTAAATAAAACTGTATCTACAGATGAACATGCACAGACTTTTTTCCTTATCATTACCCCTACACAATGCAGCATAACAGCTATTTACCCAGAATTTCCCATGTCATTATTCCCCAAACAATGTAGCAGAACAGCTATTTGGGCAGCACTTACATTGTATTAGGCATTAAAAGTAATCTAGCGGTGAATTAAAGTACACAGGAAGAGGCACGCAGTTATAAACAAATGCTGCCCCATTTTATACACAGGACTGGGCTTCCGCAGGTTCTGGTGTCCAAAGCGGTCCTGTGGCCAGTCCCTGTGGACCCAGAAGGTCAGCAGTACACTTCCACGGGCCCTCATAAGGGACAAGCAATGCGAGCTCCTGCAAGGAAGCCCAGCTTCGTTGTGTTGGGTGCGAAAATCGAATGGCACCCAATAGGTGCTTGTTAAGTCTTAGATTCTCATTGGGTTTTTTTTGTTGTTGTTCTTGTTTGGTATTTTCTCCATAGTCACCAAAGTAGGCCTTTGCCTCCTTTGTACAGATGAGGAGCTGAGTCTCAGAGAGCCACAGTGGAGGTCAGGGGACCAGAACCAGGACCGTGGCACATTTATTCCTGGGGGCCCAGAGGCACTTCCTGTGTCTCCCGGAAGTTGGTTCTGAGTCTGCCTGCCAGACACAACTGTGTACGAATAACTATGGAAGGCACCCATGCAACGCTCGATATAGTCACTTCGTGTACTTTATGCGATACGTGGTGATCCCTCACACATCATGTGAATCATAACATGCAAGGATCTGGCAGCCCCCTCTGTGCAAGTGCTCTGAGTCTGAGGGTTCACCTGCCTCGGACTGAAAATATTTTTAGAAATTGAGCCTGTACTAAACATGTACAGACTTTTTTTTTCCCTTGTCCTTATTCCCTCAACAATACCATATAACAACTATTTCAATGGAGGGAGGGGAAGAAAGGGGAAGGGGGTTAAAAAAAAAAAGAATTAAGATGATTTATATATGGGCCAATCTCCACGGGGAATGTAATCCTGATGTACTGCAAAATGTGTGCTGATAAATGTCAAAAAAATAAATCAGAAGGCACAAAAACTGACTATTCCCGGGGCAGTGACACTGCATCCGGTATTCTAAAGTATCCAGGAGGGTGTGTGCAAATTCTCTGTAAACGTACTACACCAGGTTAAACAACTGTGGTGTCGGGATCTGTGGAGGGTCCTGAGACAGCCCACAGCATGGCTGTATGATGAGTATGACGTGCTAAATCTTCTATACAGAATAAAACGAGCATGAACGGACACATAGAAAGAATACCGTGTACAGTATGGTCATGTAATTAATTGTCTGTGCACAAAATAGCTTCAAGGATATGTGTACGTGTTTTAAATTACAGTTGGTCCTAGCACTTTTGCCCCGCTCCATGTCATTCCTCCTTGGAGGGCCTGTTTTATGGCACAGGATGTAAACAAGAGTGTAGGATGGGGACGTGTATTCTGTTTCTCCAGCAACAGGAAAGTGAGTCAGTTCTGTTCCTTCCCGGCACATGATGGGCTCCCGGTAAAGCTTCACTGGGTAACTAAACACAGCCTGTGTTCAGTGCACGTGATATCTCAGCTTCTGGGCATGGCAGAGGCCTGAGCGGCTCTCCTTGTCCTCGAGCCCAGTCAGGGAGTTTTACACCACAGAGCCCCAAGACCATGGGTGTTTGCACATCACCCACTCATGTATTTCAGCGTTTGTGCTCCCGAGTGTGCAAGGCCCCTGTGAGACTCAAGGACATGCAACCCCTGCCCTTGGACTGTGTCCTTTTACAAAGGGAGGGGCAAGCCAGAAAGAAACACAGAATTTAAATAGCTGCAGGTGGGAACCAGAGAAATTTTAAAAAGGTAAAAGGCATGAATCTAGCAAAGGAAATTTCAAGGCAGCCCAACATTCAGGCTGTAGGATAGATACTATTAGGGATCTTTACCCAACTCTACAGTGAGAATCCAGAGCAAACAGCACAGCTGGGTGATTTTAAAAATTCTGAGTTTCACCAGAAGGGAAGCTCTTGTAAATGGGGAGCCTATAAAGTTGGAGAAAAGGAGAGGTTCCTACCCACCTATTCTTTGCTTTTGGAATAGGAATGTTTATTCTGTGCCATTTTATTTTGGTGGTATTTAGCTTAATTAAAAAAAAAAAAAAAACAGGACTCACACTGTTTGCCTTTGGTAAGTCTAGAGGAGACTTTGTACTTGGACCTTTTAGCAATGCTAGCACTGCTAAAACTTTGGTGACTCATAGAGATGGAGAAAGTGACTAAGACACAGGCTGAGGGACCCACAAGCCAAATCACATGGAATTCCTTCTACAAGGAGGACACTGAATCTCGGACTTTCAAGAAATCTCGTTCCCTGCCTCCTATATCTTCATCCAGAGCCCCGGCTCTCCTCTACACTTCCTCCAGTAGCAGCCAGGCCCTGAATCTCCATCTGCAATGATAAAACTCACCCTCCTGGGTGCTTCCTGGACAGTTCCAGGGAAATGAACCTCTTTCTGATACCAAATTGGAAGCTGCTCCTTGTGATTCCACTTCCCCATCTCCTAGGCCCTGACTCTATTCTATAGTCCCCTAAATGCAGTGCTATTCCTGTCCCATCTTGACTCACATTGACTAACTCAAGAGAAATGTCAAGTCAAAAATTTAACTGTGTATATGGGTTATATTAACAGAGAACTAATGCCCATTAGATAGGAGGTTACATTCTCCTCTAGCCTGGATTATCAAACTCTCCTCCAAATCTTGTGCTTAGCTCCAGACCCTATCTAAAATATACAAAATG